CTCACCGGTGAATGACACATGATGTAGCCCAGCGGTTCCCAATTCCAGTCCTCATTAGTTAACACATCCGATTAAGATAACCAGCTCGTTAGAAGTGAGCTACGTGCATGAACTGTGTTCCGATCGATATGATCCCTACACAGTGTTCATTGCTCCCTACTCCCTGAGCAGTGGAAATTGTTGAAGTTTACTTCACTTCGGAACATTCATTCATGGATTTGCGCTGTGCAGCGTCTTCACAAACAGATGAAACTTACTAGAGAAGTGTGAAGTGTGACATAATATACCTCTGTAAACACTAACGTTATTTAAATTTACGTCTCGCACACTTTAATGCCCTTTGTATGGAACTTATACGCTCGCTTCGAACTGGAATCTTGGCGGAATATCCGGTGATGTCCACTTCGCAGGGCACTTACGGTCGAATAGAACAAACGTCGCACGTGATAAGAGATACATATGAAATGTGCGGGGTGTGGGGGAGGGGTGCGAGGACTGGAATTGGGAACCGCTGATGTAGCCTATTGTAGTAATGTTGTCTCTGGTATTCTGGTCTGTGAATGTATATGCGTTCAGGGGGCGTGGCTTTGGACGGCGATTGCAGGGAGGGTGGGACGTTCGCTTTCAGTGCTATCAGGCTAAAGTTAGCATTTTCCAAGATCTCCTACTGCACCTTTAAAAGACAGCTGCCTATGTAGGCAGTGAGGTAGCTCACTAGATTTCGAAAAGAGCTAACGTTTAAGCTAGTTTTCTTTAGAATAAGATAATAGTAACATCAATGTAGCTAATTTCAGCCAATAAAGCCTAAAGGATTTTGTCATCTTAAAAATTCCAAAGAAAATATTTCACTAGCTGTTTCAAATCATAGCAAAAAGCACTCGTGTAGAGTTCCACTTGTGGGATTTACTGCTGAAAAAAAATCTTGAAAATCTGAGGAACTAATAAACATCCTTGCCACATCTGAGACACATAGTACAACATTCGTCAAACCCATCTGCATTTGGTTTTTGTTTTGTCTGCGGATGTGCATGTACAAAATAAACCCTTTGATGTTATTTATTCTGTTCTCCTTGATTCATTGTCAGTTAATCACACATCAGTCACTGTTCTGTGTCTCAAGCAGAAACGTCTAGACAACACGAAAAACACAGCAACAAAACATCTTTATTCGCAAATTAAGAAATGATAAGAATACCGTCTAAATTAGTTTTTTTTTTCTGAGCAAAAATCAAATAAACAAAACGCCCCTGATTATCTATTCAAACAGCTGTTTTTTTGTTTGTTTTTTTTTCAAAATCAATGTACGTGGAAAGGTTTATTCACCTTCAGATATACAAAAATCAATGCTAGATTTCCACCCTGTTATCCATTTCTTCTTGTACATGCACAACCTCTCCGGACCATAATCAAGTCACATCAATAACTATGCATGCCCTCATAAAGCTTTTATGAATCACAGTACTGTGCTCTGAATACCCTATTAACATGGTAGAAACAAGACTTTTTATATTTCAGACATGTTTATAATTGCAGTTCTTTCAATTCCAAGAAATGTACTTTTGCAAACAAGAGAAATAATTAAAACATTTTATTGTGAATTCATTGTTACTCCACCAGAGGTAAACAAATAAGCCTAAAAATTAATTAAGGCTTAAACAGCTTGAAGTTGTTGCTTTGTGCGAAATCGAAGAATTATTCTGCCTCTTAATATTCTTGTTTAAACCTGGCCAGCGGTGACCAGGAAAACAAAGCGCTGATGTAGCCTATTGTAGTAATGTTGTCTCTGGTATTCTGGTCTGTGAATGTATATGCGTTCAGGGGGCGTGGCTTTGGACGGCGATTGCAGGGAGGGTGGGACGTTCGCTTTCAGTGCTATCAGGCTAAAGTTAGCATTTTCCAAGATCTCCTACGGCACCTTTAAAGAAGTATTTGATTAAATAAAACTACATATTACTTTATTTGAACAAGTCAATAAGCTTTTAA